ACTGTTACCTGAGCGCCATCCTCCCCGCAGCACTACCTGCTTTCTTAGAGATAAACAAAACAAAACAGCAGCACAGTGGTATTCAAGAGTTACAAGTGTATCCTTTCCTGCTAGGCCTGATCTTAGGGATGATTTAGCATCTCAGCAGGTTGCTGGTTTATCAGCCTACATGCCGAGATGGAATGCAGACGACCGCTCGGAGATGATAATGTTTAAAACATCATCACTTCCCAACTGATCATTTCCCTTGCTGACTTTTGGGGGTCAAAAAAAAAAAAGCCTACTAAACTCTGAAATGTACCAGTGTAACGCCTTATATAGAAAGCAAGGGTTTTGAAGGAAGAGGGACTCGGAACTTGAACCATTTGATTGAAGGCATGGACAAGGTCAGGTCTTTAATCCTCCCCGGTCCAGCATACAAATGAACAAGTACTTCACCCCGAGCAAGCCCAGGAAAAGGGAAGATGGGAGTTTTCCGGCACCGGCCTGCTGCCTCTTTGCACCCGTCCTCAGAAAAGGGAAACGTACAGAGGGGCCCGCACACGTGGTGTCTGCTCTCCACGGCTGAGGACTGACGTCTGCTGTGTGTACTTCAGGCATGAGAATTTGCTGATCCCGGGACAAAACCACCCCAAATGGACCCCGACACAAATGTGGATGCAGCTGGATCTTGCCTGGGTAAGCTGCAGTTCTGCTCCCAAAGAGAGAAGGTCCTGCCTCATGGTCCTCCACCCATTTTCTTACTGTGGCTATAGACAATTTTTAAGTAAAAATAAGTAGAAAAATGCAAAGATTATAGCTCCTGGCCCACCACTCCTGTCATGATTATATATGATTTCAGTAAGAGCTTTCCAACCCTTGACTTCTGTTCTTGACCGCTTTTCTCCAGTGACCCTCTGTCCTCTGTCCTGCCCTGGCTACTTACGCCCGTGGTCAGACCTAGCCCTTGTCATTACCACACCTGCAACCCCAACATAACCACAGTTCCAAGAACCTCTGGCAACCGCCTCCTGGCACACACGCTGGCTCCCCCTCCTACCTTCACTCCAGGAACCCTTCAGTCACACTGACCTTATCAGCTTTTCACTTTCCCTCACACCCCTGAGGCTCTCACTTCTCTCCTGACCTCAAGTAAATTCCATGGCCAATCCTTATACTGACTCCCTTGCACACACCCTCTCCTGGCACAGCCCTAACCCTGTCACATCCATCTCTCCAGCCACTCGGAGCCTGTGCATGCACCTGCACAATTGGCTAGAGAAACACACAGCAGTGACACCTGGCCCTCTATGTCAGTGTCTCAGCCTCAGCACTATCGGACATTTTGGGCAAGGTAATTTAGTGCTGTGGGGGGCTGTCCTGAACACTGTGGGGTGTTCAGCAGCAACTGGCCTCTACCCACTAGATACTGTCCTCCAAGTTGTGACAACCAAAAATGTCTCCAGACATTGCTGGAAGTCTTCGGAGGCAATCTGCCCCAGGTTGAGAACCACTGCTTTATTTTAATGACTTCTAACATCAAGTGCGCCCTCAGCAGTGCCGGGTCATCGGACAGCACATCCCCAGTTCAATCATCCTCCCGTTCTCCTGGATGACTGTTTTATACCCTCTTTGTCTCCTCAAACCTCCAGTTCCTTCCTGCTTGCTCACTGCCAGCTGATGCCCTTCACAGAGAAATCGAAGCAATCAGAATTTCTTCCAGCTCCCACCACCGAACATCTGAGCCCGCAATCTTCACATTCTCTCTGTTACGGTGCTCCACTGGTGTGTTAGCCTCTCAAGGACATCACTCCCGCAATGTTCCCGCTCTGGCATCAGCCCCATCAGCAAAACATGCTCATTTCCCCAACTTAAAACCAAACAAAACCCTCTTGACCGCAAAGCCTCCTTGAGCTACTGCCCATTTCTCTTATTGCCCTTCCTGCAGAGCCCCCTTAAAGAACTGACTGTACTTGCAGTCTCCTCCTGTCTTCCATTCTTTTTGAACCCACTCCAATCAGACTGTAGCCCCCATCCCCTCCACCAAATTGCTGTCCCCTGTCCACTCCACAAAAAATGCTCTAGTCAAGATCATCAACCAGCTCACAATGTTAAATCCAATGAGCAATTCTGTCATCGGCCAATTGACCTGTCATAGCACTTGACATAGCTGAGCTCTCTGCCCTTCAACCACATTAAAAACAAGACTTTCCAGGTTTTCTTACTACCTCTCTGGAGGGGACGTCCCGTCTCTCTCTTTGGCTGATTCTTCCTCATGTCCCAAACCTCTAAATGTCAGAGGGCTCCAGGGTCTGGTCCTTGGACTCTTCTCTTTATCTGTACTTACTCTCGATCTTGTAGTCTCACGGTTTTAAACATCATCTGTGAGTCTTCCAAATGTGTATCTCTAGCCCAGATCTGTCCCCTGAACTCCGTTTCTAATAACCAACATTGTACCTCCACGTGCATGTTAATTAAGCATCTCAGCCTTAACCACCCACATGCAATCTCCTGCAGTCTTCCCCATCGTAATGACAGCTCCGTCTTTCCAGTTGTTCAGTCCCCAAATTTTAGTGTTCCTCCATCCCTCTCCTTTTCACACACGTTAACGAATCCTGTTGGTTCTGCTTTCTAAATGGACCAGTCCGACCATTCACAGTACCTCCACAACTGTCACTCTGGTCCAAGCCACCATCATTCCTTGCCCAGATTAGTTCAATAGCCTTCTAACTGCCTAGAAGACTTCTAGCTTCCATCCTTGCTTCCCTACGGTTCATTATCAACATAACAGCCAAAGGGACTCTTTAAAAGGTGGGCATGACCGTGTCAATCCTCTATTCAGAATTCTCCAGTGGCTTCTCCTCTCACTCACTCAGAGTAAAAGCTGAAATCCTGATGGTCTACAGGACATACAGGATGAACCCTGCATGCCTGCTGCACCCCATGTCCCCATCTCCTATTTTTACTCCTCACTCCACATTGGCCGCCTTACTGTTGCTCACAAACACTAGACACTATCCTACCACCTGTCATATTCCCGTTTTACTTCTTTTATAATTACTGTTCCCTGCCCACTAGAATTTAAGTCTGTGGGGGCAGAGATTTTTCTGTGTTTGGTTACCAGTGGTCCCCAATACCTTGAACTGTGCCTGGCAGTGTTGAATGGCCACAGAAGATGACCTAGACTCCTTAGAAGCTCCCTGCTGCCTACAATGAAGACAGTGTAAAAGCCCCACCGTTACAGACAAGACCCTCGGTGTTCTGATTCCTTCTCGTCTTGCTAGCCTCATCTGCCATTGCACACACACCTGCATAGACCACGTTCTTTCATACCACATGCCTTTATTCAGACTCTTACTTTGCCTGAAACAATCCCTTTCATCCTGTCCAGGTGAGCTCCCCTTCAGTTCAGGTCTTTGCTCCCCACTTTCTTCTCTACCGTCTCACCTGATTTCCTCTGGAGTTAGACACTCTTTCATACTTGTAAGCATCCGGTTCTTACCTCCAGTATATTGTTGTTCAGATTATGGTGAAAATGTTTGCATGTCCGTCTTCCCTGGCAGACTGTGAACTACCACTTGTGGGGAAGCACAGTCTTTTGTGTTTCTATTCCCAGCAGCTACCATGGCACCCGGCACATAGTAGGTTCTCAGTAAATCTTTATAAGCACACACAGCATATAGAGGTGGTGGCACTGGTGGGAAGCAGGATGCCAGGCCCCAGGGCTAAGCGCGAAGGCCTCCTAGACATTAGACCAACTCCCAAAAGCGCACCAACAGCGGTTCTCAACCTTTCACAGGGGTCGCCTAAGACCATCGGAAAACACATACTTTCGATGGTCTTAGGAACCGAGACACTGCTCCTCTACCCGTCTCCAGGCCCACATGCCGATAAGCCCACGTACGAGTACCGGGACCCTGTGCAAGGGTGGTTCCACCCGCAAAGGGGTCGCGACCCCCAGGTTGAGAACCGCTGAATACCATAGCATTGCCCGCCTCTCCCCTCTGCTTCTGTGTCCTCGGCCCAGGGAAGGTTGTTATTCTGCTGTGATCGTCCTCTCAGAGGGAAAGCTGATGTTTGCTATACATCCCCCGCATTCACGCATTCACCAGATGTTCACTGAACGTTCTCTGTATGCCAGCGCTCATCTCATATGATTCTCACAGCTTCTCTTGGCATTTTATCCATTTTCTGACGACAAAACTGAGGCTCAGAGATTAATTTTCATAATGTTTCAGAGATGGCAAGGGGCAGAGTTGGGAATTCACTGGTTCTCTGACACTGGAGGGTGGTGCCCGTGTCCCGAGGGCTGGAACTAAGTGGCCCTCACCTGAAGCTGCTGCGGCTCGGAGCCGGAGCCGGAGCCGGAGCCGGAGCCGCCGCCTTCTCTTGAACTTCCTCCTTGGCCGCGGCGTCTTGCAGCTGGTGGGTGCCCGTATGGATGGTGGGAGCCGGCGCCCGGACCACGACCCTGCGAGGAAGGAAAGCTCGGAGAGGTCCCCAGGCCTAACAGCCACTGGAGTCCAGGTGGCTCACGGGACACGGAGCGCGCAGTCCGGGGGTGGCCGTGGGCTCGGAGCGGGTAATCATTCTTACCTGCGCGTCGGTGGCCAAGCCCATGACCGCAAGAGGCCCGACCCCGCGTTTCTTACAACCTGCATGGTTTGAATTGACCCCGCTCAGCTCCGGTCCGCGGCGACAGCGGAGCCTGGCGTAGCTGGAGCGGCGCCACCACCATGAGCGCCTGTGGGGGGAGACTACAGAGGAGAAGTCATCTGATTCTTCTTTATACGATCTGTTAAAGATTTTCACCCCATTTCATATGGTCTATAATAACCATCTCTGTGATTGGCAACTGGGAATTTCACACCTTTCCCCTACTCTTCTAACATGAGACCTTCGCCTACCCCTTCACGTTGGAATGGTTCGTTCTAGTCGTTCCGGGGACGAAGCGCGTCCCTACGTGCCGCTCCCGCGCTGCCTTGTGGGAACATAGGATTGGCCCAGGTCCACAGGGAGCCGCGCTGCATTGTGGGAAGGCAGGGAGATGGCGGCCGCGGGAAGGCGGGCTCCGCTTGGGCTGGCGAGAGGCTGGCGGCGGCTCGAGGGGCTCCGGGCCAGCAGCCTGGGTTTTCGCAGCCTGAGTCTTGCGACCGCACCCTCGAACCGCGGCTCTCCATGGCACCTGTTAGGCGCGTTGTGCCTGCAGCGGCCACCACTGGTGTCGAAGCCGCTGACTCCTTTGCAGGAAGAGATGGCGGCTCTACTACAGCAGGTAGGTTTGAGGTGCGGCTTCTAGGTGCCGTTGGGGAACCAATAGAGGCACGCGGGCCTGGGTCGGATCCCGACTCTGGCACCAGTTAGTCTGTGTGACCTTGGACAAGTCACCTCAGAACTTTAGTGTGTTACCTGCAAAATGGCACCTATCTTACCGGGTTGGTTTGGTACACAGTAGGCGTTTAATAAAAGGTACTTGGTTTTCATTGGTCTTCTTTGTTGTCGCCTTAGGCAGTTGTTTGGAGAAGCTCTTCTTTTTCACTCAACGCCGGAGGGAAGCGGTGATAAACAAGAGGGACTCGGCCCCTATCATAGGTGGTTTACAATTTGGAGAGAAGGAAGTCTTATGTGATGAGTGTTAGAAGGCAGTGGCCACATATGTAAGATGCCTGGAACGAAGTCACACTTGTTTTGCTTCCCAGGACTGTTTGTGTGAGGGGCAAGTGAGGAGGAACCACGGGCAAAAACTGGGTGTAGTTACTGTGAGGGTCTTAAGTCTCCACAGATAGTTTTGGAAGGATCGTGTGTTTCTCTGGAAGTGGATGTTTTTTTTCTTGTCTACTGAGAGCTATAAACTTTACTTTTTACTGTGCTTCTTGATTTATTAATATATTCTGCAAATGTTTCACTACTCTACAGATAATCATTGAGCACCTACTTTGTGCAGACATTGCAAAAATAAATGCTAGGGCGGTGCCGGTGAGTAAGACAGACATAACTCTGATTCTTAGAGTGCTTCAGTTGAGTGGAGGGGGGCCTATCAGTAACCAGATAACCACGTGATTATAACTGCAGACTCTGGTTAAGTGTAAAGGAAAACACATGGTACTATAAGAGGACTTAACAGGGACATCAAATTTTGGTTTTGTGAGAGGTGTCAAGGAATAGCTCTCCAAGAAAGTGATATTTAAATTGAGATCTGAAGGATGAGTGGGGCGTCTTCCAGGAGAAAAATGGGAAGGAAAACGTTGTAGGAAGAAGGAACAGCATTTGTAAACTCCCTGAGGCAGCAACGAGTGAGTGAGGTTCGAATCAAAGACTGATGTGGCTAGAACATGGTAAGCAGGCAGGCAATGCCTGTCCCTGTCCTCTGTTACTAGCCATCTCATGCAGGGTCAAAAACCTCTAATCACATTCTGACATTTTAGCAAATGTAACTCAGGCCCAAAGTGCAGGTGACATTTTTTTCTTTCTTTTTTTTTTTCTGTGGTATTTTGATTGTCTGGTTATACTGGGTCGTAAACTTTTGAGTCTGTCATGTGTACTATAACTGTTTTATTCTGCCTGTTTTTTTTGTCCTTTTAATTTTCCCAGATCGAGATAGAGAGAAGCCTGTATTCAGACCATGAGCTTCGTGCTTTGGATGAAGCCCAGCGACTGGCAAAGAGGAAAGCTGACCTCTATGATGAAGAAGACGATGAGAAGAATATATTGCTGGTACAGGATTTGGAAGATATGTGGGAGCAGAAATTCCTAGAGTTCAAACCTGGAGCTCGCATCACAGGTTTGTGGTCTTTTCAGGCCAGTAAGAGCAAAGGGAAAGAGGGGTACTCTAGTTCCCAAACGAAGGACAGTTACTTAGCCTTGCTTTGTGTTTTAAGTAACAAATAATTGCAAATGAAAGAACTTCTTTCAGGTGGGAGAAAAATAAATTATTTTCTGTGTTCCTCAATCTGCCTTAATATAATTTCCCCCCCAAATTAATAACCCTAATATTTTGTAAAGCCTGTGTTATTTTTGAGTAGGAGGTTAGGGTGTTGAGATAGCCTTTTCTCTCTCGGTTCAACTTTATGAATGTTATCTGAATTTAACTCCTAGTTTGGACTGAGAGAGGGGGAAATGAAGCCTTTTCCCTCTATTTCCAGTGCTTTTTCTGAAATCCTCCTAAAACAGGAGGTTCCCTCATCCTTGTTTTACAGAGGAACACCGAAGAGAAAGTGGGGGCTAGTTAAGTCAGTAACCAATGAAGTAGTAGTGTTTGAATTAATAGGGGTATTGCTTCTTTTCCAAAGGCTGAAAGTACTTTATGGTTTGCTCTTCAGAGGAGAAGTTCAGCTTTCGGTTTTCTCTTCTTAGATTTCAGTTTCCTCAAAATTGTAAGACTCTACCTTGAAAGAGGTCACAGTTAGAGAGATGGGTCAGGATTGTAATCTGATTATAGCAGTCCCAGTGGGGACTTACCTGCAGAAATATTCCAAGACTCCCAGTGGATGCCTGAAACTGCAGATAGTTCTGAACCCTGTATATACTGTGTTTTTTCCTATACATACACGCCTATGATAAAGTTTAATTTATAAATTAGGCATAGTAAGAGATTAATAACAGTAACTATTGGGCTGTCGGAAAAGTCATGACATATTTTTTTCTATGTTTTTCTTTGCAAAAATGCATCATGACTTTTCCGACAACCCAATAATAAAGTAGAACAATTTTAGCAGTATAATAGTTAAGTAAATAGTTATGTGAGTTTGGTCTCAAAATACCTTAATGTACTGCACTCACCTTTTCACATAAAAGGGAGCACTTTATGGCTTCTCCTTGGCATATCTAAATTGCCAGCATCACTATTATGCTTTGGGTCCATGATTAAGTAAAATAGGGTTATTTGAATACAAGCACTGATACTGAGACAGTTGATCTGATAATTGAGACGGCTTATAAGTGACTAACGGGCTGGGATCGTATACAGCGTGGAGACACTGGACAAAGGGGCGATTCACATCCTGAGTGGGATGGAGCTGGACATGAATCACTCCTTTCATTATACTACTCAGAACAGTGTGCAATTTAAAACTTAACAGTTTATTTCTGTAAGTTTTCCATTTATTATTTTTGGACCATGGGTCTAAGTTCTTTGAGGGTAAGGATTGTGGCTCTACCTTAATGGAAGACTGCAAAAATCTTGAATCTGGCAGATCAGTTATCTTGTCTCCTCTAACCCCCCTTTCCTTCTCAGAAGCCGATAAAAAAAATGACCGAACCTCCCTGCACCGGAAGCTAGACAGGAACCTCGTTCTGTTGGTCAAAGAGAAGCTGGGAGACAAGGAGGTTTGGCTGCTGCCCCAGGCAGAGTGGCAGCCTGGGGAGACCCTTCGAGGAACAGCTGAGCGAACCCTGGCCACACTCTCAGGTGAGTTCTCTGCCACCCTCTAAAGCCCATGAGACTCACTTCAGACTCAGCCAAAGGATGATGGGTTTAAGGGTAGTGGATGGGAAGTTTAATGAAAACTTACATTTATAAAAATTTCAGCTCGAAGAATTCAGGTAAGAATTTTCCGTAGATAAGGTGAAAGTCCTCTTTGTCCCACTGAGATTTTAAAATTTAGTACAGTTGACCCTTGAACAACACGGGTTTGAACTGTGCAGGTTCACTTATGTGGAATTTTGGTAGTAAATATGTACAGTACTGTAAATGTACTTTTTCTTATGATTTTCTTAATAGCATTCTTTTCTTCTAGCTTAATTTATTACAAGAATATGGTATATAATATATACACATACACACAAACTATGTGTTAATCTACTGTTTGTGTTATCTGTAAGGCTCCTGGTCAATAGTAAGCTATTAGTAGTTAAGTTTTGGGGGAGTCAGAAGTTACATGCGGATTTGCGACTATGTGGGGAGGTCGGCACCCCTAATCCTCACCTTGTTCAAGTACGTTCAAAATTGATGTTCTACCATTCTCACAGCCTGCTTCTCTTATCCTTGCTTATCGGCCCACCGCGTACCCATTCACCCAACTAGAAACCTTGTAGTTATCCCTTGACCTAATTCCATAAATTCTTGAGTCTTACGTAGTCTGCTGTAACTGCCCCCCTCTTTATTCCCTTAGCTTTAGCTGTGATCTTTTCAGTTCTCATTAGACCAGGGTTTCTCAGCCTTGGCACTAGTGATACTGGGGGCCAGAGAATTCATTATGGGCAGTACTCTGCGCATTATAGGACGTTTAGCACCATCTCTGGCTTCTACTCACTAGATGCCAGTTGCACTAACCCATCCCCACCCCCTCTAGTGTGACAACCAGAAACATCTAGGCATTGGCAGATATTACCTGGGGAGCGGAATCACAGTGGTTGAGAACCACGGCTATTGAAGTAGACGCCATATAAGTTCCCCTTGCTTTTGAGTCGTACCCTTCAGTGCTGCCAGAAGGAGCTTGCTAAAGCACAAATCCCTCGTCACTTCTCTGCCTGGAGTTCTCATAAGGTTTCCCATGGAAGTTCAGACTTTATCAAGCATGGCCTGCACATCCGTTTTGCTCTGATCCCGGGCTCATCAGTCTTGTGCCTTGCTGCTCATTAATGTATACTCTTTTACTTCTAACCTAGCAATCCTTTGCATTCCTTGAATAACACAGTTGTTCGTGTGTCTTTGCTGGTCCCTGATAGGATGCTTTTCCTCCTCCCTGGTCTGACTGCTCGGCTTGCTCGTTACAGCTTCTGTGGTGGAGCCTTCTCCAGGCCTCTAGGTAGAGAGAGCTACTCCTCCCTCTGGGCTCTGTAGCACAGTGTGTGTCCTTGTTCAGTTTATGCAACAGACATTTACTCGGCCTGCCGTTTGCTGGACACTGTCCAGGCAGTGGGGTCACAGTGATGAGCAGCTCGCCAGCTCTGCTCCCAGGGAGCTGATGGAGAATACACCCCTTCTCTTATCCCATTGCCCTGTAATTGTTCATTAGCACATTTCCCTCCCCAGCCAGAATTCTGACTGCCTTGAAGGTACGGACAATACCTGTCCCTTGCCATCACCCCAGCCCTCAGCAAAGTACCTGGCACGTAGTAGGTGCTTGTTGAGTGTTTGAGTACATGGATTTGGTAGTTTAAGTGCACACCCACTTTACTGGCCCCACCGCCAGCTTAAGTACCTGCTAAAGAACCTTAGGCAGCCAGTGTCTGCTCCCCTGATCCTTTCCTCGAGGGGCCTGTGGCCTGCAGGAGAGGTAGCGAGACAAAATGGAATGGGTGGAGGCCTTTGCAGGGCTGTCAGTGTTCTCAGCCATCACATGGAAGTTGGCCGCTGTGTTTCTTGCCAGCATCATTGTATTCACATGCTCAGCTTCTCTCATGACTGACGCTTGCTCAGTTCTACCTCCTGAGGCCGCATGGAAAGGGGTTTCGCCTCAGCACTGCACTTTGCTCCTTTAACCTTCCCACTGTAATAAATAAATGTGAAAGGAAATCTGTAACAGATATGTTGACATTTAATAGGTGGATATAAAGTAAAATGTGTCGATCCATTGCAAATTTATTAAGATGGTAAAGAAAAGCTCAAGCAATATAAAAGTATATTTACAAAAAAGTCAGAGTCCATTTTTTCCTCCCATTGGCCCCACACTTCCCAAGTACTTCTGCAAGATGGGATTCCTAGAGGTGGAATGAAGGGTCAAGGATGGAAACATTGTTTTTCATAGGCACTGCCCAATGGTCCTGCAGGATGTTACCTAATGTGTTACATTGTCAGGAGTGATGCACAGGAGTACCTGCTGGCCTAGCCCGCACCAACATGAAATAGTCTTTTTAATTTTTGCCTGTCCAGTCAGTAAAAAGAGATTGCTTTTGAATTACCGTTTTTCCAATCGCTCGTGAGATTGACCATCTTCATGTTCGTTGGCTGTTTGTGTTCCTTCTTCCATGAACTGCCTGTTCAGATTCTTTGCTCTTGTTTGTAATAAATGGTTTCTTTTTTATTTTCTTCTTGATTTAATTATATTTTAATCCATTTCTCCCAGATTATAGGAAAGTAATAGGTACCTGTTTAATTAAGTGGAAATTTCAGAAAAGTACAAAAAAACGTACCAGTATAATTCCACCACTTACAGATACCCACTGTTGACATTTTGGATAGTGTTTTTATTTTTAATAACTGAGAAAAAGAATTTGTTATATATATACATATGTGGTGAAAAAATTGTCAAAGAATGTCTACTAAATGTAGTATAGGAGAAGTAATTTTTCTTTCTAAGAGGCACCCACCATTAACAGTTTTTTGTGCATTCTTTTAGAAGTTGCAAGTATATATGCACATATTTTATGGGGTTTTTTTGCACATAGTTGGAGTGTGTGTGTATATACACGGAGCTATAATAAATAACCTTTTTCTCCTCTTATGTACAGCCTTTAATCATCTCTCTGTATCAGCACATGAAAACCTGTCTTACACTGTTTTTTTAACACTAGTGTGCTGTTTCATACTGCAGTTGGCTTAACCAGTCAGTTGCTTTTACAAGTGAAGCTACAGGGACCTCGGCTTTGTACACTCGTCTTTGCTCACATGGGCAAGTAAATATATCTGGAGGAAAAAGTTCTAGAAGCAGAGTTGCTAGATCAAAGGATATGTCCAAGTAAAATTGATAACTCTTGCCAAATCCATGGAGAGTACTCATTTTCCATTATTCTTGACAAGCAGTGTACAGCTCAGTTTTTGAGCTTCAGTAATAGTTATGTGTTGCTGTTTTAATTTATATTTCTTTAATTATTAATAAGATTGAGCATACTTTAATGAGTTTGTAAGTCATTTATTTTCATGTGAGCTTCGTATTTATTATGCTTGGGGTTTTTTTTTTTTTTTTTTTTTTAGATTTGTTGGTTTTTCCTCATTGATTTCTAAGTACTTTTTACACCTTAAGATAGTCCTCTGTTGAATGTGCTGAAATATTTTTTCTAGTTTTTTATTTTGTCTTTGACTTCCTTATGCTTCATTTTTTCTTTGCAGAAAGGTTTGATTTTTATGTAGATAAATATGTCTTTTATGCATTTTTGAATTTTGTGTATTGTTAGGCCTTCTCTCAAAAATAATATGGGAAGGACTCTTATGGTTTTTTTTTTAGTGAAAAATTTTAAATTATGGAAAAAAATCAGAAAATATTATTAAATACCCATAAAACCATCCAGAATGAACAAACCTCATGAAAAATTTAAAATTCTGTTGTTAAACCTTCGATCTGTATGGTATCAATGTTGATATGGGCTGAGGTTGGGATCCAGCTTTATTTTTGTTATTTAGCTCACCAATTCTCCTAATGCCATTTAGTAATTCACTATTTCCCCATCATCGGAAATGCGGGGTTGGGATTATTTACCCTTTGTTATACATTGCAGATACTATCTATCAGTCTGTCTTTGTCTTTTAACTTTGATTATGATGTTTTTACCCTGTAGAAGTTAAAACGCGTCCTTTTTATGTTTTCCTGTGACACTCCCTTTAAAAGGCGGATGAACTTTGCCTCAAAGATACCAAGTGTCTTGGTCCTTCACCAGCAGATGGTGACTTGGGCTGAACCTAGAAGCTCAGTGTTCTGACTCCCAGGTAGAGGTGTTTGGCTGCATTGCTGACTCCAGTCGGGAAACAGTAGCTTGGCACATGGCGAGGACCCAGTGAACCTGGAGCCCATGGGCCTGGGACATGTGGATTGAGAAGAGAGGAGGCTCTTCAGGAGTGAACTCTAGTCCTTACTCCCGGGGATTGCTTTCATGGCACGGAAAACGGCTCTCACAAAGACCCTGATGATTTGGGATCCATCTACACAGGTGGGTGTGTCCTCATCTTCCAATTCTGTTTCCCCCCCTCCCTCAGAAAACAACATGGAAGCCAAGTTCCTGGGAAATGCACCCTGTGGCCACTACAAGTTCAAGTTCCCCCAGGCAGTACGGACAGAGAGTAACCTCGGGGCCAAAATATTCTTCTTCAAAGCACTGCTACTAACTGGAGACTTTTCCCAGGCTGGGAAGAAGAGCCATCATGTGTGGGTCAGTAAGGAGGAGCTTGGCGACTATTTGAAACCCAGATACCTGGCCCAGGTGAGGAGATTTTTGTTGGACTACTGATGGACTGAGCTGCTGTGGACAGTGCCCGGACAATTGTGCGATTTGGGTCTCAAGGACGTTTGTGGGTGCCCCATCTGTGCAGGGAATATCAAGCAGCAAACTAACTGAGAAATAAATGAGTTTATCCTTGTGTGGGTCTCGCCTGATTTGTCCTTTGAGGAGTACTGGCTTCTCCCTGTGAAGAGAGCCAGCTCTTCGGGTGCCTTTCCCTTTGCTCCCAAGCTGATAATTATGTATTGCATTGCTTTTTAGTGAATCGACTGGCTTTCTGGGCCCAGGAAGGAAGAACAGAAGGAAACAAATCTAACTTCTAAAAGCCTTGAGCTATGTGAAAGCTTCTAGGCCCATGAAAAAAAAAAAAAAACTAGTTCTGTGTAGTTTTTTAGTCATTTTCCCTTTTATCCTTTCCTCCCTTTCTACTTAATATATGAAAGTGTATCAATCTAGCCTAGGAAATAATTCCTTCGTTTTGTCCTCCCCTCCCCTTCTGAACCCTCTCACTCTTTTCTTCTTCTTTTATTCATTTTTTAAGGTATTTTATATTTAAACAATTGAATCATATGTTACCTGTTTTTGAAACAGTCATGTGGAATAAGCAGTGGCGGCTCGTTCTCCATTTACAAGCGGGGAATCATGGCCGGTGTGTCTTGGCTAAGAGTCTTCCTGCACGCCGTTGGCATTGATGGCGCAGGCGGAGAACACGGGTCTTTGGCCTCTCGGTTGGGCTCTTGACCCCTCACTCAGTTGTATGGGTCACCACTGGTCCCTGTGCCTGGCGCGTGGAAAGCACTCAATGAACATTTGCTAAATGAGTGAAGAGAGCGGGCGTCTCAACATGTCTGCCCAGAATAGGTGGTTCCAGTAGCCAGGCTGCAGTCCTGGATCCCAACTTTCTGACATCCTTTTGGGTTAAACAGATTGGCCTGTATGATGTTAGGCTGCGAAAGGGGATTGCTGTATCTGCGTCGGGGGTAGCCTCGTTCTCACACAGGGTCAAGGAAATTTTCTTGCTGTGATGAAAATCGAAGTGCCCAGTCCTGCTATGTCCTCCTTTTCTGGACTGCCTACACGTGCCTTTCCCCCTCATTACTGAGGGGACATGTCTCTAGCTGAGGCTCACCGATTTCATGGGCATAGTGGCACTTTTGGTGGGAAGCCTAGGCCATAGGAGAAGGTAAGGCACCCACAGGACCAGGAGGACATTCCTTTTTTAGGTTTGGGAGTGAATTGTGTATGTGAACTATGCTGTGTAGTCACTGCAGGGACCTCTAACCTACAAGGAAAGGAATCACCGGGCTGAGGTGGCGACTGTTTGCGTGACTGATGTCTTGATTTATAACAAATACATATTTGGTCTTCGTCCCCCATTCATTGGCACAGAGCTATGTATAAACCCTTGGGATTTCTTAAGTGTTGAAAGCAATCAAGTTTTCTTTTGTTAGTTAATGAGGTGACTTGGCACGCCCCTTGGTAACCTAAGGTTGGGGTCTGGTTGCCAGGGAAGCCAACCATGTGATTAGAGGGTTGGAACCTTCAGTCTCAGCCCCTGACCCTCCGGGGAAGGAATAGGGGCTAGAGATTGAGTGCAGTCTCCAATGGCCAACGATTTAATCATGCCTACTGTGTCATGCAGCTTCCGTAAGCCCCAGAAGGGTGGTTTGGGGTTTGGAGAGCTTTCAGGCTGAACAGTGGCGATGTGGGGAGAGGTGTGCCAGAGAGCATGGCATCTCCACACCCTTCCCCACACCGTGCCCTGTGCATCTCTTCCATCTGGCTGTTCCTGAGTTATATCCTTTTATAATAAGCCAATAATCTAGTAAGTAAAATGTTTCTTGAGTTCTGTGAGCTGCTCTAGCAAATTAGTCGAACCCAAGGGAACCTCTGATTCATAGCCAGTGGGTCAGAAACACAGGTAACAATCTGGACTTGTGATTGGCATCTGAAGTGGAGAGCTGTCTTGTGGGACTGATATTCTGTATCAAGCCCGTAATGTGGCATCCGATCCGTCGCCAGGTAGATAGTGTCAGAACTGAGTTGAATCGCAGGACACCCAAGCGGTGTCTGAAAATTGCTTGGTTTGGGAGAAATCCACACATTGGAACTGGTACCAGAATCTTAACCATGCGTAAGATGGTCTGTTTTGTTACAGAGTTGTTTCTTTAGAGGGAAACAGCATATATACCACTGGTAAATAGAGAAATGGTGTCAGGATAACCCGAAATTAGGTTAGTTCCTGTGAGGTTTTCCCCAGAACATTAACATTTTGAAGTGATCAGGGACAGACTTGAATACCTTAAGAAAAAAGCTGAAAATTGTATAGAAGTGCCTTCCTTTATTGCAAGTAGTGACAGGTGCGGCAGCTTTAAGAGTCACCCCAAAGCCCTTCCACTGTGTTTGGTTGTCTGAGGAAACCAAATGGAAAGGAAGACAATGCAAAGACACCACCCCTTTGTTTTACAAAATTGATGAAGAAGGCATGGCATTTTTGATTTTGATGGAACTTGTCTGCTAGGACCTACATCCAAGAACCTACATCCCAGGAAGAGGAAGCCCCAGGATTTCAGGGACCAGTGTATGTGCCAGTGGGGGTGGGGTTAAGTGCCTCACCATCATCATCGGGCTTCATTCTGTTTTGATAGTGCCCTGGCTACAAAATGCCCCAACCCCCATTTCCCAGAAGCCCTGTTATTGTATTTTTGGTGTGTGATTTTGCAGAATTTTGGAGATAAGTTTTTGGGTTTTTTTTCTGGCATCATAATAGAAATGACTGCCTATGCTGAGTGCCCTGAAGCTTCCACTGGCTGTCACACATGACCGGAAAATTGTTTCTAGTGTATCCCTTGGGAGAAGAACCCCAGGGAGCAAAGGAAGATGGCGACGTTCTCTGTGTTTTAGGGGATGCGAGCTTTCAAAGAAAACGGTGCGAGGAAGAAACAGGAACGTGTGTGACGTGGGGATTAGGAGTTGCAGTTTGAGGTGTGGCTGTGCACCCTAAGAGAAATGCCACTGGTTTTGTGTGTGTGTGTACACGTGTGTAAGTGCGACATGTAAAACAGACCCCCCCAGCTGTGTGTGTGTGTGTACACGTGTGTAAGTGCGACATGTAAGACAGACCCCCCCAGCTGTGTGTGTGTGTGTGTGTGTGTGTGTGTGTGTACACGTGTGTAAGTGCGACATGTAAAACAGACCCCCCAGCTCACTGGAAGTTCCCTCCAGAAGCCCAGCCCCACCTCTGGTCATTGCCTTCTCAAGTGATTTTTAGTCACTTCTGTTCTTCACCTTTGCTGGTACTGTGGAGAACATATCATCACTCGTACAAACTTGTCTTCCTGGTAACGTATCCTCGAGTTTCCTCCTGCTGGGCCATTTCTGCACCTTGTACGTGCTTCTCCATTCCGCACTTGATAGGACAGTGAGCTGTCTGTTAGCCTGGCTCCTGTGCCTAACTGCACTTCCGGATCCTTGAGTAGAGCCTGCCTCATGGCCATACTTAAAAAATATTTCAGTGGATCAGCTCCTTTCCTCACGAGCACGGAACTTGGGCGTCAGAAAGCCTGGGTGTGAATTTGTTTTATGACTTTTGGCAAGTTACAACGATGATCGCTGCTAATAATAGTGGAGTGACCTCTGAGTGTTAGGAACTGGTCTAAGGTCCGTACGTACAACATACATGTCTGTTGAAACCAGCAGGACGGGCATCCTCATCCCTGTTGTATAGATGAGAAAATAGACTCAAAGAGGCTAGTTAACTTGCGTAGGGTTGGTTACTCGCTAGTAAGTAGCGGCCTCGGAATTTGAACTCCAGTGTGTGTACAAACCTAGTTTTTAACCTTAGTGAGCTCTCGCATTCTCATCTGTAAGATACAGATGATACTATGTCTCAGATAATGTGATAATTTATGTGAAAGTACTTAGCACTGTGCATGACTTGTTATAAACACTCAGTAAATGTTTCCCTCCTTCCAGCATGTTTAAGCTCCTCAATTCTGAATTCAGCTCTATCATTTTTAGCTTTTACATCTCTCATTCTGACCTTTTCCAGGTTATATGTTTTGCGGCAACTAAGGTTTCTGACCCATTTGGAAACAGACGTGGCTATATGGACATTAGTGGATTCATTCCATCAGCCGATCTCAAAATGGGTGGGTGGCAGGTCAGTCCCATAACGACATCCAGCTGGTGGGGCAGGTTAGCCCTGGCGCACTGTGGGCCAGGAAATCCAGAGCCGCTGTTAAGGCACAGGCTTCTGGGGCCCTAAAAACGGAAAGGACTTGCTGACCCATTCTGTTACCCCAGCAGGGGAAAAAGGAACACAGCTGAAAGGTTGGCCAGCCAAGTATGAAGATAGAGCTCTAAGCTATACGCACAGCAAGATAAAGCCTGTTTGTCTGAAATCTTAGGACAGCCTCAGCCCCCTGCCTTTCTCTGCTTTATTTCCTAGAACGGTGGATGAGAGGCAGTCACCTCGGGCTGTCAGTCACCTCCCACTTGCCTTGGAATGTCAGCGCTTAAAAGAGCACAGGAAGGGAAGGAGGAAACTGCCCTGCTCTCGGCTTCCAGGAGAGGGGTCCAGAGTAGGTGCTGCTATAAAGGCTCAGGGAGAGGTCCAGGTAGCTGTCACAGCTGAGGGGCTAGCACTGGGAGGGCCCTTGTGAGTCGGGGTGGGGCTGGGGGTGGCCAGGGAGGGCAGTACTAGCCCAGAGCCAGGAATAGGTGCATGTGTGCGCACACATATACACACGCACACACCATCAAATGGGCCAGAGGAGCCAGCAACAGGTTTCGTTCAAACGATTTGGCAGTACAGGCACACCGCTGATCGCTGAAAAACCAGGTACCCAGGCCCCACAAGTGAGCGGCTGGAGAAGGGACTGAGGTGGGGGGACAGACCCCCAGCCTCTCGTTTGGCCCAGAAGGGGGAACATAGTCCCAATACAGCCAGATAAGGACCGTTGAGAGGAGGGATGTTTGATCATGACAGGACTCGTAGACAAAGCTGAGAACACCTGGGAAGGGGGTTTGGGGAGGACACCCCCAGGTCAGGAGGCCTTGGGGTAGGCAGGGCTGACAAGAGGAGAGAGGTCGCCCTCAGGCTAAGAAGCCTGATGGAGGTGCAGGTGGCAAGGCAGG